CGTTCTCATGGCTATCACTGTATCGTTCTCATCTCTGTCACTGTATCGTTCTCATCTCTGTCACTGTATTGTTCTCATCTCTGTCTCTGTATCGTTCTCGTGGATGTCAATGTATCGTTCTCATGGCTGTCACTGTATCGTTCTTATGGCTGCCGCTGTATCGTTCTCATGGCAGTCACTATATCGTTCTCATCTCTGTCTCTGTATCGTTCTCATGGCTGTCACTGCACCCTTCTCATGGATATCAATGTATTGTTTTCATGGCTGCCACTGCATCGTTCTCATGGCTAGTATCGTTCTCATAGCTGTCACTATATCGTTCTCATCTCTGTCACTGTACCGTTCTTATGGCTGCCACTGTATCGTTTCTCATGGGCCCCGCCCCCCTTATCGTTCTCAGGGGGGTTCCCCCTGTTAAACGTTCCTTGGGTGCCACGTATCTTGTCATCTCTGGTTTACCGCACCGTTTTTCATGGGAGCCAATGTATTTTCTTATGTCTGTCACTGTATCGTTTCTCATGGGTGTCCTGTATCGGTTTTTTATTCCTGTCACGGGTTTGTTTTTTAAAAGCTGCCGCTGTAACGTTTTTTATGGCTGTCACTGTATCCTTTTTCATCTCTGCCCCTTAAACGTTCTTAAAGGCTGCCCAAATTTTATCGTTTTTTGACTGTCACTGTACGTTCTTATTCTGTCACTGTATTGTTTTTGTAGGGGTGCCACGTATCGTATTTATTGCGTCACGTTCGTTTTCATGGGTGTTTACCAAATCGTTTCATGACTGTCAATGCACGTCCCCCATTCATCACTGATCGTTCTTTTGGGGTGGGGCCCTGTTCGGTTTTCCCTTTGTTTACTGTATCCCTTCCATGGCTGTCCTGTATCGTTTCATGGCTACCACGGGATCGTTTTCATGGTGTCACTGGATCGTTCTCCCTGACCCGTCACGGGATAGTTCTCATGGTCCCCTGTATAGTTTTTCCAAAGGCTGTCACGGGATAGTTCCATGGCTGCCTGTATCGTTTTTTTTGGCTGTCCCTGGTTTTAGTTCTCATGGCTGTCCCCTGGGAAGTTCTCATGGCTGTCACGTATAGTTTTCAGGCTTTTCCGGGATCGTTTTTTCATAGCTGCACTGTATCGTTTCCCCATGACTGTCACTGTATTGTTTTTCCCTGGCTGTCAAATTTTATGTTCTCATGGGTGCACTGTATAGTTCCATGGCTGTCACTGTATCGTTCTTAAAGGGTGTTTACTTTTTATAGTTCTCATGGGTGTCAAAAGTAAGTTCTCATGGCTGTCCCCTGTATAGTTTTTCATGGGGTCACTGTAAAGTTCCCCATGGCTGTAAATGAAAAAGTTTTTCATGGGTGTCACTGTAAACGTTCTTATGGCTGTCACTGTTGTTCTCATGGCGGGCACTGTATTTGGTTTTTCCAAGGGCCCGTTTCCGATAGGTTTTTCATGGTGGTCACCCCCCCTTTTATTTTTCAAAAGGCTGTCCCCTGTTTTCGTTTCTCAAAGGGCTGTCACGTATATTTCTCATGGCTGTCACTGTATAGTTCTCATGGGGTGGGCACTGTATATTTCATGGCGGGCACTGTATAGTTTTCTTTGGGTGTCACTGTTCGTTCTTTATTCTTTTCACTGTTAGTTTTTCCCCTGGTGTCCAAATGATAGTTTTTCATGGCTAGGGATAGTTTCCTTGGCTGTCCACTGTATAGTTTTCTTGGCTTTTCATTATCGTTTTCATCTGTCCCCCTGTAATTTTTCATGGCTGTCACTGTATCGGTTTTCCCGACTGTCACTGTATAGTTCTCATGGGTGTCACGTACGTTCTCATGGCTGTCAATGTATTTTCTAAAGGGGGTTTACTGTACGTTCTCCCTGACTGTCCCCTGATAGTTTTTCAGGCTGTCAACCCGTATCGTTCCATGACTGTCACTGTCAGTTTTTTCATGGCTGTCACTGTATCGTTTTTCATGACTGTTTACTGTATAGTTTCAGGCTGTCCTGTATCGTTCTCATGATGTCACCCGTATAGTTCCATGGCTGTCACTTACGTTCCCCAAAGGGCGGGCACTTTTATATTTCTATGCTTTTCACTGTATCGTTCTCATGACTGGGCCCTGTTTTAGTTTCATGGGCTGTAACGGAAAAGTTTCATGGCGTCAAATGTATCGTTTCATGGGCTGTCACTGTATAGTTTTTCAGGCTGTCACTTATCGTTCTCATCTGGGCACTGTATCGGTTTTCATGACTTTTTCACTTTTAAAAGTTCCATTTACTGTCACTTTTTCCCTTCCCCATGTCTGTCACTGTATAGTTTTTCATGACTTTTTCATGTATGTTCTCTTTACGGGCACTGTATCGTTTTCATACTGTCACTGTATAGTTCTCATGACCTGTCACTGATAGTTTTTTCATAAAATGCCCCCGTTCGTTTTTCATGGCTGTCCTATAGTTCTCAAGGGTGTCACTGTTTAGTTCTCATACTTCCCCTGT